TTATAACAGCATTCTTCTCCCTTCCTGCACCCACCCCTTTCTTTCATCCTTCCTTCCCATCCTCTCTCACCTTCCTAGCTCTATCCCTGGGCAACTGCTGTCCTCTTGATCTCATATTCTTGATTATTGTAATGAGTGCATAAGTAAAATAAAATAAACCAAACTCACTGCCTTCAAGTCAGATCTGACTTACAGAGACCCCTACTTGGGTTTTCAAGGCCATATCGTTATGAAAGTAGATTGCCCAATCTTCCTTCTGAGGAATGGCTGGTGGATTTGAATGGCCAGCCTTCTGTTTAGCAGTCAAATGACTTAGGCACTACACCACCAGAGCTCTTAATGAGTGCATACCCTCCTGGTATTACTGTTCACCTTGGTTATCATTTGGCTGCCAGTTGAGCCATGGGTATAAATTCAGTTCCTAGCTTGAAGAATGTCTAAGGACCATAATCTCAGGGGTTCCACCACTCTTGATCAGACCAGTTAGCATGGCCTTTTTTTTTTTAATGATTTTGAGTTTTGTTCCCCATTTTCCCCTACTCTATCCAAGACTTCTTATTATGATCCCTTCCAGAGCAGTCACTTCACTGCATTGAAGTGTGAAGGCTCACAAGAGCCCTATCAGGTATTGTCATCTCGTTTCGCAGACAAGGAAAACAAGTCTTGAAGGGGTTTGGTAGCTTTCCTAGGTCACACAGACTGAGACAGAGAAGAACCAGGGTTTAGTACCTGAGTGCCTAGTCCAGAGCTTGTCCCTTAATCACTACAGAACATTGAATGGCCCTTGTGGGGCCCTAGAAAACCCAGCTTTAGTCCCTGAAATTTTCCTGTAAGAGCTGCTTTCACAATTCTCCTTGTTTTTTTTCCAGTAAATTCAACCCACTAAAACATATTATTTGTTTATCTACTTATAGTGAAAAAGAACTTGCAATATTTTATTTGTTTGCAGACTATGAAGAAATGATACCAGTTTTCTAAACCAGGAAATGTAGAAAGAATAGAGTAGTTATTAATTAGGATTCTTTCTGAACTTATATTAAGAAGATAGCTATTAATTAAGAAAGTTTAAGACCTAATCATAACTATCAATATGTACAAATTGTTAAGAATATCATTCTCTATTAAGGAATTCAAGATTCCAAGTGGACATTGTTGTTCTTGGGTGGACATCTAGTCAATTCTGACTCATAGTGACCCATGTGACAGAGTAGAACTGCCTCATAGGGTTTTCTTGCCTATAATCTTCACAGAAACACACCTCTAAGTCTTTACTCCTGTGGAGGTGCTGGGTGGGTTTGAACAGCCAACCTCTAGGTTAGCAGTTAAATGCTCAACCATTGAGCCACCAGGGATCCTTAAGTAAACATTGGGCTGTGAAAATCATAGATTTTTCTCTTACCTATTGGAACTAGCTATCAAATAACTCTGAGATTTTAGAAAAATAGTATTTTAATTGACTAAAAAAAAAGTGACCCTTGAAATTAGACTTTGAGTGATCTGAAAGCTCTAGTACACAAATATGAAGGTTAAAAAAAGGAATTAAAAGAAAATCCTGCTGAGTCAATAGTCATATACATCTTTTCTTAAAACCTTTCCAAGGTCAGAGCCTAGGTACTCTTACTTGACACTCAGTTCTATCAAGCATGTTTCCCTAGAAAGCAGAATAGAAGCAGTAGATTTCAAGAGAATAGCTATTATAGTGGCAAACAAAAGCTGACCATGACTGAAAACATGAAACTGAAAAATTAGACAAATACATTGCAATAATACACATTCTCATGGAGACGAACTTGTCTGTCGCTTTGTCATACTGTGGTGACTTGCGTGTTGCTATTAGGCTAGAGGCTGTGCCAGCAAGGGTGCCCATCATGGACCAGTTTCGGTGGAGCTTTCAGATTGAGACAGACTCGGAAGAAGGAAAAGGCTATCCACTCCTCAAAGAATTGGCCAGTGAAAACCTTATGAATAGTAGTGAAACACTGGTGTATTACTGGAAAATTTTATGAATAGCCCTGAAACATTGTCCGATACAGTGTTGGTAGATTAGCCCCTCAGGTTGGAAGGCACTCAAAATATGACTGGGAAAGAGCTGTCTCCTCAGAGTAGACCCTACCTTAATGATACAGATAAAGTAGAGCTTTCAGGGTCTCCATTTGCTGATGTAGCACAACTCAAAATGAGAAGAATCAGCTGCAAACATCCATTGATAATTGGAACATAGTATGTACAAAGTATGAATCTGGGAAAATTAGAAGTTGTCAAAAATGAAATGGAACGCATAAAGATTGATATCCTAAGCATTAGTGAGCTGAAATGGACTAGTTTTCACCATTTTGAATCAGAAAACCGTATGATCTATTATCCTGG